ATTAATTAGTACTACCGTAGATATTAATACTTATTTTAATACGTACCTTTTATTATATAGTCATATTATTACATAGAGGTAAGTATGTAGATATAAAGATACTCCTTATTGTTTCCTTCAAAAGATTACCGTAATAAACTTATTATAGATACAAATAATTACAAGAAAAGATTAGAAACTGAGAAAACAATGGGCGTCTTTACCGCTAAGAGCTATCTCTTCCAGGCTACCTTACTTATATAAAAAGAGGTTAGTCGCCAACAACTTCTCTGCATTTATTGGGAGAAAAACAGGTCAGTGAATATACCTATTACGAATTAATACCACTTTCAAAAACAATAATAAACATACACATAAATAATTACATATAGAATACTAACTTTTACCCTCGATTTCGTCCGTGTGACCAAAATATGGCTGGGACTGAAAGTGTCCTTCTGCATTCCATATAAAACGTGTATACTAAATTTCATAGTGGTCCATTAAAATGTTAAGGCGCTAAACGGTAATAAACAAATTCATATTATTATTTATAATATTGAGTAAGGATTTCTTTATTTCTAGATATATAATTTCGTTATTAAAAAAAATAAATTATTTAAGTATTATATTAATACATTTAAAGTACGAATATATGTCACGCATTACGAATAAATTTGAGCAAACATTAACATTTAATGTCATTATAGCAATAAAAGAACATTTGTCGCGAATAGGTATTTATAACACTTTATCAATAAGCAAATTTGTAACGGTCTGTTACACGCCGTTGTAAATCCGACAATCCAATTTAAATTACAGTGGCGGCAATAAAATAACAACAGTACCTGCGTTTACACATGTTACAGAATCTACAAATGAGCATTCATACAGTCGTGTCATATGCAAAAATCATTTATCGACATGTAAAATTTCTTTATCGCGCCGCACATGTACAAAGCGTCGCGAATCTGTGAATACATTTTTTTTTTTTATTGGCGATAAAAATTGAATGCATACGCAGTTAATTTGCGTACGTTGAATTGCAGACCGCACATTGTGTCACGCCGTCACCGCCCTTAGGGCGCGACCCACTGCCCTCGTGTCGCCAACATTTCACATTGCGTTACAATTCAATTATCGAACGATTCTATTGTGACAAATTCATAAACATATTTTTTAAACGGCCTGACATTTTTTTTTTACGGTAGCCGTATCGATTTTTCGACAGTGCCTAATTTAAATTTGAATTTAAGAATGACAGTTTCGATGTTTTTTATGTGGAATTGCATGTTTCGGTGTCGTTTACGAATTTGCATGTAACTGGTATTGTTTGGTTATTGGATCATATCTCAGATGATAGACGTATGTTAATTTCTTTTTTTATAGAATATCATTGATATTTTTCCGTTAGCGTTTGATTGTAAGGAGTTATTGATATCCCCACGTTTGAAAGTACTTACTATCCGGTAAGCGACGATGCAAGGATGTTATTCTTTAATTTTGCTACTGTTATGATGTCTATTGATGTGAAAACGTTCAATGCTTCTTTGTAAATTAGATCTTGATTTAAAATATTCCAACGATCTCTGTAGATCATCAAAAACTTCAATACCAAGTCGCCATCAATATTCGACCGTTAAAAAACCTTATTCAAATTATTGAATGAAATATAGTATTCATAGAGATTTGATTCATTTGTAAATTTTTAACGTTATTTTTAGTTTAACGCCAGAAAATTTGTATTAAATATAATAAAAGGTGGTATATAGTTAACAGTAGATATATACTTCCCAATTATTATGATATAAATATTATTTACATTAACAAATGTTTCAAATCAATCTTATCATCGTAGATATTGATTTATTTATTAAACTTTAATACACTTAGATAGTGTAAACGGCGGACTTAACACCATTTGGCGTTATTTATCAGTCGACTGCAGACAGGAATGTCAGAAAATCTATATGTTAGTCTTCTTTAGAGTTTACTTATGAAGGTATATATAAACTTAAGCCATAAAGAATAAATACTCAACAGCTATGTACTAGGATACTTCTCGTTTCTACAAGAACTTAGAAACATTTTTACACCCATCCAGTAACATTCCTGATGTTGCAGGCGTTCATAACCTACAGGGACCGTTCAATAATAGATGGGCCGTTTATTCATTTGTCACCTTCGGGATATAAACGAAAAACCTACTTGTAATTTGGAAAAGCAAACAAGCTGAGGGTCCAACTGACGAATAATAATACCTATTGGTGACCTTCACCTATTAAATAAATATCAATATCTTCACACTGCATTCAATACTAATTATAAGGACAACTGACTTCGTACCCAGTACCTAATTTTAGTGAAATATCCCACAATTCAAATCAGACCACTATTATTATTTTATGCTTTTTATTTTATTATTATATATCTATATATCAAGCAAAAGACTTTCTTATTAAGAAAATCTAATAAGTTTATTATCCAACATGTAGTGAATATCAATTCCAAGCCAGTAATGTATCGGAATACGTGCTATTTGTTACACTACATACTACTACATTATCGGTAACAACTTTTTTTATTACGTTAGTATATACAGTATATATATAGTGATGATAATTATCATCATCACCATCATATGAGCCTTTAACTGCTGAACATAAGCCTTCCCCATAAGAGGAGTTTTGCTAGTAGTTGCCGTGCTTAGCAGGCGGGTTGGCGACCGCAGTTAGGTTTCTGGAAATGCTTTAAAAGGGACGCTGCTGCCCATCCCTCGCCTTCCCTTAGTCGCCTCTTATGACACCCATGAGAAAGGATGAGGTATTCTATGCCAGGACCATACGGCTACCAGTAATAGGTAAAAGAATTTCACCGTGAAAAAAACAAATAGAGGTATGCATTGTAGCTGTGTAACCTCTGATAGAAGAGGCACAATTTTATTTATTTACCTGATTGACTAGGTAAGAGTTACTGTTTCCCAATTAATTAGGAAAATATCATACAAAAATAAATACCGTAATAGAGATAAAATGCAAACTATAAATAATACATGAGTATGAAGCAACGTGATACTAATAGTCGATATTAATAATCTCTTTTTTAACTAACTTGACATAAATACTTCACGGTCACTCAACGAAATTCCACCTAGTTAGAAGGTAATTTAAGATTACGTGTTCTAATTGGAGCAAAACCAGTTATTTTTATTTAAAAACTAAATTAATGAACCGATTCTGATAAAATTTCTATGAGATAAATCTATAAGTATATCCTTTCAGATAAAAAAAGCCTAAGACAGAGTTATGAAATAACAAATATAAAAAAAATACAATCGAATAGAGAATCTCCTATTTTTTGAAGTCCTTTGAAAATACATTTAGTTCTATGTTTTTAGTGTTGTCTACACATACGGAGTACCGTGGACATCATCTAAGCGTTGTGATACCCAACAGTACGTACACAGTTCAGGTTTGTAGGTCAGATCGCTTTGACACTGGCCGTCACTTTGACAGTTCGCACGATTGTTTAACAAACATAAGGTCAACAAAACACTAATACGAACGAATATTTCGTACTGCTTATCAGTACGAAATATTGAAGGCGCCATATTAAGAAGGTTGCCAGATGTGATTTTCTATTTTTAAACAAGCGTCAAATATTTTTTCTCCTATTCGATTCGATTTCCAGGATTTTTGCCCAATCACAAACTTATATCGTTTATCACCTCGCTTTGTTATGTAGATACCATAAAGATAACGACGAAAAAAATCCTTCTATACATTTCTACTTTTACCTTATCTTAGCCTCTTCTCTTAGCCTAACCTCTTTTTTGCTATAGTCTTTCATATATTTTATTATACTTATATACACTTTAAGTATAAATACCAAAACTGTACAAAAATTTCCCTAAATATCTCAAAAAATTTCGCTAACGATTTTATTTAAAAATTTTCTATTCCGTGAATAGAAAATTTATGAATTTTCATTAAAAATCGAGAAAAACATATCCAATCTGGCAACTCCGCATACCAAGTAAGTAGTTCAATACTACAATAATGCGTAAAGTTACATGCGTAGCGTATGTCAAGTTAATTCGAACGTCTAGTACCTAAACAATAGATTTTATTCATCACCAATCTACTTACAAGACAATGATATTTTCAATATAATATGTAGGATTTTATTTTGTTATTATTTGATAAAGAAGCTAAAAGCTCATCCGATGGAAAGTATTACTATCATTTATATACATGAATGATATTGTGCATCACAGAATATACTGTGATACCCGTAGTATTCCTCGTATATTACCTACCGTCCTTGAGAATTGTTATGCTTCTGTACTCTATAGTAATTTCTCTGCTACATACCAATCTTCAAGCGAACTGTCATACAAAACTAGATATTGTATCTGTTTTTTATTTATATACTTACATAACACCTATTGCTTTATTACATTTATTATTTTTTTTATTAAAAAAAAAAAGTGTTTCTATTGATAGATGTTTATCAGACAAATAAGTATATAGGAACAGAATGTCGACTAAGGAAATTGTATTAAGTAACATTAAATTCTGATCTATTAGAATCGCTGATATTCATGATAAACACTCAAAATGAAACACGCTAAGTGGCCCATTCACTGACTGGAGGTAAACAATTGAGATCTTATATCGAGCCATACATACCCAGTCTTATAGAAGACAGTAAGCCATTATAAACTTAAAAAAAAACAAAGACAACCGTCATAACAGCAGAAAGAGACCACGCGACATACCGCGCGCAACCAATTTGCATTGTACGCCGGCTGGTAAACGTTTAAATTCTTATTTCAAATTCGAATTTCGAACAGTTGGTCTCGTTCTGCATAATAACATCCGTAAGATAATGGCAGTTGCTTGGCCAATGATGGGGCGCGGCGCGCTTTCGTGGGCGTATTGGAGGCATCCGATTGGTCGACTCGAGCGGGTTTATCACTCGATTTGTTGGGAGCGTCGTCACCGCAGTCGCGCCGCACGATTGTCGATTGTCGCCATTGTGCTTACCGAGCGGCGGACGCGCGAGAACCGCTAGCCGATACATATTCGCACACGCGTTATCGATAACACAAATCGCATAGATCGATCGTGTGAATGCGATTAATGTAACCGTTGTAATTAATCTTATGTTTACAATTTTCGAATTTGGAACAGTGTTGTTAGTGCAGTGCCGGCGGGACTGGTTTAGTTTTTTTTTACAACGTGTTTTTAAGAAAACATCGTGGAGCTTGACTTACACCAACGTGCCAGCGGTCACTTCATGAGGTAAATAGATTTATTGACTTGTTAAAACACCATTAAATATTTATTAGGAAACGCTCGGATGCTGTGTTGCATCGGATAGGTAATTCGGAGCCGCTGTAAGGTCAACAATCGGAAAATGTCATCGAACTTGTGTAAAATTGATTGGTTTCGGAATAGATTCTATTGTCTGTACCTATCTGTTTTCCGATCTCATTCAGTGATCTATTGTAAATTCATTATAATGATAATGGGTTTTTAATCGATTAAATCCCAATAAGTAAACGTCCCAATTCCCAATAAGTGTAAACACAACACTGTGATTTCATAGTCATTTATATGTGATATGCGCACCTAACCTAACCGGGGAGGGGGGAAAAGGAACTGTTAGTAATGAGGATTAACAACCCTACTAGCAATATACCTTATCAGGCCGACCTCCTCGCGGTCCCTCCTGCAGACATTCGTGATTCATTAAAAAAATCTAAACTACCTAATGAATTAACTAAGTAGTACTAAGTCTGTAAGGTGCCTACCTACAAATTTTCAAGACAGGGAATAAATCGTGATTTCGATCTCCATGCGGTTCTATTGGGTTCCATCATGACCTGACTTTATCCTCTATTGGCATTTAATGCCCTGCCATTGTATCTATAGGATTGGTATTTTAAATTCCATTTTTAAAATTATTGCTTTAACTGTTTTTTTTTCTTTTTTTTTTTACTATTGAAGGGTCCTGTGATTGATCACGATTTCTCCTGATGGAAAGCGATGATGTGGTCTAAGAAGAAACTCACGAGGCCACGAATAATCTATTGACACTTGCCTTAAATTAATCTAAATTAGGGATTGGGGGGAAGGGTTTGTTAGTAATACAGACTACACAGTCACATATAGCTAACAATGTAATTTGATATCATTTTCTCATCGAATTTTTTATTATGCAACTTAGAATGGCAAAGAAGCTGACGGCCCACCTGATGGAAAGTGGTAACCGTCGCCTATAGACATGAGTAGTACCATGGACATAACAGAGTATACTGTTTTGCCCATGATACCCCCCCATGCGTTGCTGTTCCTGAGGACTCGGGTGTTATTCCTCTGTACCCTATAAATTCACTGCCTTATCCCACCCTTCAAACCGAAACACAGCCATACAAACACAACTACTTTACAGTTGAAACACGAATGGGATAGAGGTACCCAAGCAATCGATTTTATTATTAAATAAATATTAGTAATTCTTATAAGAAGTTGGTACATGTAACACAATTAGTATTGTATCTTGAAAGATTCAAATAAGAACATGTATTAAATATTGAGGGTCGATTTTTAGACCTCGTCGACCTTCAAAATCAGTTCTTGTTTTTGTCGATCCCTGGGAAACCAATTTCTAACTCAAGATGTCAATATTGACCGTCCTGGGAATCACTGATATTTTTTTAATGGATTGCAATGGTGTGGTAACCCCGTCTCCGTTAACAGTATATGTTGGGGACACTAGTGAACGATGATAGCTGAGAATGTAAAGGCAAGGCATTTGACGTTCATAAGCGGCTAAAATGTCCTACATGAATAAATGATTTTTGAATTTTGAATTTTTTGAATTTCAAGTCAGTTAGCCTATCGTGATGAAAACATCTAGAATTCAGCTCGATGGTAGTCCGCATTACTAGCAATTCCTTCTCTAACTACCCACTACTAAACATAAGCCACTCCTTGGGGGGTTCTACAGGTAGTTGTCAGGCTTGGCAGGCAGGTTGGCAACCGCAGTGAGGTTTTAGGGATGTTTTAAGAGGGACGCTGTTGCTTATCCCTCACCTTCGTTAGTCGGCTCTTACGACACCCACGGGATAGCAAGAGGTGGCCTATTCTATGCCGGGACCACACGGCCAAAAATCCTTACTTGCTTACAAATATCATAAAAGTGAGTTTGTTACCTTATAGCGTCTTAACCTATCATTAAGAGAAGAAAGAAATCCCTTAGCTCGTCTTTGTACATTTAAATTTTATTAATTTATTTATTTTATTTGGAAAATACAACAGATAAAAATACAAAATTAGTCGAGGAATAGATTTCATTATTATGAAATCAACGTAGAGGAGCTACAATTATAATTTCTTAATCAATTCGAAAAACAATACTTCCAATGTTTAATTTATTGCGTCCGAATGAAGTCAGGACAGGTTGCTAGTATAGGTACAGTGTACTTAACTATAAGTATAATATATTTAATGTGTTTATCTATACTTATAATAAATCTGTAGAGAGGTCAATTCTGTACTTGAAATATATTTCCAATATAACTATCAGGGGGTGATTAGGGATCGATACTGATGCCAAAAATGCAATCAGTAAAATTTTTGTCTGTCTATCTGTCTGTATATTTATTATAGAAACAAACACTACTCGACGGATTTTAACGAAACTTGGTACAATTATTCTTCATACTCCTGGGCAGGTTATAGTATACTATACTTTTCATCACGCTACGATCAATAGAAGCAGAGCAGTAAAAGGAAATGTGTCTGTTATATCAAAACCACTGAACCGTGAGGAAGGACATAGGCTACTTATTTTACGAAAAACGACGGAAACGCGAACAAAGTCGCAGGCAACAGCTAGTATTAAATATATTTTTGTACCCATAAAAAAATTTGCTGTCCAGTTTGTTCCAGTATCACGCAAAAATTACTGCACCAAATTGCATGCGGTTTTCTGTATCAGATTGGATGGAAAGAAAAATATCTGTATTCGTGATTCGTGAAGGTCGAACTTCAAATGTATATTTTATTCCAAAATCCACATATAGGAAGCCGCAGGAAAAAACTCTGGCTTAAGAAAAACTTACTTATTAAGATTTATTTCATCTCTATTATAAATCTTCAGAATAATTTAAAATTTTATTTCATAAAAAAAAAAAAACACCTCAATTGTAGCCAAACCAGTTGCTTTAATTTAAAAACTAAATTATTGTACCGTTTTTGACAAAATTTCTACAGGATCTATGTGTAAGAATATGCTTTCAGATAAAAAATAATTTTCAAAATCAGTTTATAAACGACAGAGTTCCGAGGTACTTAAACTAAAGTTTCATCCCAATCATCTGGACGAGTGGCGGTCTTCCACCGTGCATTTTTCAAGGCACTTTCTTCCACGCACAACCATTCTTTGGAATCAACTTCCAGCAGCAGTATTTCCGAACCGATACGACAACATAACCTTCAAGAAAAGAGCATATTCCTTTTTAAAAGGCCGGCAGCACACCTGCAATGCCGTTAGTGTTGTGGGTGAATCATGGGCGGCGGTAGTCACTTACCACCAGGTGAGCCACATGCTCGTTTGCTCCCGTGTTGTAAAAAAAAAGTATACAACCTAATTGAGTACCTCCAGCTTTCTTGAAGTAGGTTGAAAAAAAATTGTTTTCCTGAAGGTCTACCTTAAAATGTATGTATTTTATCTTAAAATTCACATACGAAGTTACGGGACAAAGCTTTTATTATTTAGGACTAATATGGATGGTTCTAGAACTTAGGGTTGTAATGACACCACCATTACTTCTTCGTCAAGTCTAAGTCAATCTTCGAGTGTTGGCAGTCACACACATACTAATGGTAGCGGAATTGATTTTACCAGAGGAAGACTTTGTACAAAAGTCGATTGCTTGGGTCCCTCTGTCCCATTCGTGTTTCTACCGTGAAGCAGCTATGTTTACATGGCTGTGTTTTGGTTTGAAGGGTGGGGGATATGGCGTGAATTTACTGGGTACAGAGGAATAACACCTGAGTCCTCAGGTATGGCAAGGCATGGGGGGTATCATGGGCGAAACGGTATACTCTGTTATGTCCATGGTACTGCTCATGTCTATAGGCGACGGTTACCACTTTCCATCAAGTGGGCCGTCTGCTTGTTTGCCATTCTAAGTTGTATAAAAAAAAAATTTAAAAAAATTATTTTAAATAAAATAACCAGTGATATGGACTTATGCAAGATAACACCTAATTCAGTAAAATATGGAAAAAACTTCGACTTAAGACAAAATTATTTATCATAATTTTTAGTAATTATATTTAACACTACTTACTGGCCGTGTGGTCCCAGCATAGAATAGGCCACCCCTTCTTTCCCGTAGGTGTCGTAAGAAGCGATTAAGAGAGCGAGGGATGGGCAGTAACGTCCCTCTTAAAACATCTCCAAAGCGGTTGACAACTTGCCTGCATAGCGTGGCAACTACTGGCAAAAAGGGCCGGCTTATGATCAGCAGTGGACAGTTAAAGGCTGATATGATGATGATACTTATCACAGAATTTCAAACCTTCTCATCTTTATTATAAACGTTCAAAAAAAAAGTTAGGCAGTAGTGGTAATTATGGAGAATAAACTATACATCATTGCCTGTAACAAAGTAATTTAGCTCGAATATTATAACAACTAGCAACACCAAGACAAAGCAGTGTTACGTTTTTGCGGGTAAAATGAAAAAAAAAAAATAAGAGGCAAAGGAAACAACATGGCTTATAAAACCAATTAGGTATTTTACCAAAGTCCTAATGAAGGTACAATCGTCGCATCTTTATAGGGGCCGTTGTAAATGTGTTTTTATTATTTTTACACTTTTACAATAGTCGTTATGCCTTTGTAGCGAGCCGACGTGTGTGATGGGCCGATATTAGAGTTATTGACCTTAAGTGCATGGGATTTGTGATGATAATGGGGTAAGTACGATTATGATTGAAATGTTGAATGATTTAAGGGAAAGAAACAAAGTTGTCAAGTAAAATTGGGTGCTCTAATATTTTTTTTGTTTATAAGCAAAATGCACTAGGTAGGTAAATACTTTATCAGATGTTATTTGTCCACTGTTGAACATAGGCCTCCCCCATGGACATCATAAGGAACTAATGGACTTATTATAAGGAATTGGGCCGTTCCTTATGGTAGTTTACCATTGGGGGGATTTTTCCAGTAGTTGGCACGTTTAGCAGGCGGATTGACAACCGCAGTTAGGCTTTGGAGATGTTTC